ATCCAATACCTCAGTCAGCGCTTACAGACGGGCTGACCTGCAGAGACTTGACTTACATTCACTCGGACACACATGTGCGTGCCCAAGCACCACTCGAACATGTCCCTTCTTCCCCACCCTCGGCCACCAGACATCACTTAGTACCACGGCGCTCCAGTGGACAGAAGTGTGCTCCGAGGCCAAAAGTCTTTCCATCTATTCTTCGTTCCTTTGTGTACACAATAAAATATTCCTTCTATTTTGGGCTTCTCAAGACTGCTCCTCTACTAAATAACCATGGTCTGAAGATCGCAGTTGCTAGGGTTTAACTTATTTAACCCCCCGCGATAGATAATTGTGCGCGCGCGCCAACAGTTGCGAGGCGAGAGGTTGATCTTTGCACGTGGATTTAGGTTACAACAATTGCATCTTTCCTTAACGGTAGTTTGGCTGAAATAGTTAAATCGAATTTAAAGCAGGCGTATACAGCAGGATTTATTGACGTCAATAAACTTCGTGACAGCTTCTCAACTGCATCCTCTCGGGGCATAAGTTTAGTAATGAATAGAACGTACAGCATTCTAAAATTTCACAGCATGACATGACATAACATCAGGGATCATAGTTTAGTGTAAACTATCATCAAATAAAGGACACTGCATAAAAGGAAGGGGAAATTGAGGAAAATTAACGAAAATCACTTGGGAATTCAAACTAAATGCCCAATTACCGGGGTAATTGGAGGTCGACCAATTACCCCTTCACTCCTATAAGCTGATTTAATGCGTTACCCTTTATCTGATCATTATTTACACTGAACTATGATCCCTGCTGTTATGCCACGTCATTCTGTGAAATTTGAAACTGCTGTGTATTCCATTCGTCATCAAACTCATGCCCCGACAGGATGCAGTTGAGAAGCTGTCACGAAATTTAGTCAAGTCAATAAACCCTGCTGTGTACTTCTGTTTTTCATTTGTATCGAGGAAAAACTGCTTGAAATAAAATTAAGTTATTGAGATAAGCACCATCGGCAATGTTGTGTATAGAGTGGGTGGCTGCGGCTGCCAGGAAGGTGCCAGGTTGATAAAGCGACTCGAGAAGGCCGTTGAGTGAGTTTAACGTCGACAGAAAATCGGCACACCATGTCAGTATAGGTTGACTTAACTGAGGAGAAAAAGAGCTAGCAGTAGAAGTCAGATGGGATATTTGGAAGGAGGTCCGGGTACTGGTAACCATAGAGGGACGGCTTTCCTGAATTGGGAAGCAACCGTGGCCTGGAACCGATGAGCTGAGAGTAGTTGATGCCCTCCATAACGCTTCACGAGAGGATTTCAGGGACTAAATTCACAACATTAAGGTCACATCAGATGACCCAGGAAGATACAGTAGAAGTCCAATGAGGTTTTGTGATGGTTGAACTCGACCACATCTGGCAGTTTCGAGTTCATATCATATCGCGGTTACCAATATCTCAACGCCTCTAGCGACGTTATGCGTGAGTCAGCCTCAAGTAGATGCTTGGACAGATCGGACTGGGGTCGGAAGGCACTCGTGCGTACGCCCTCAGAGTCGCGATAGGCAAGAGTTTGAGCATTGCGCGTGGAGTTGTGCGATTACAACAACTATTATCACATATGCATATGCACAGCGCACTGAGTTGTAGCTGTCTCCAGTATGCCAACTTCAAAAATAGAAGAAAGTACTTAGCAATCAGAACTGAACGCAATATAATAACAAAACACTGTAAGCGGTGCATACTTTCTGCCCTGTCAAACGTGTTTAAGTATTCTGCCGATAAGTGCGCCTCATGCAAACATTTTTCAATACTGATAATGGAGGCTCTCATAGGTATCTCGAGTCCTTTTACTTTATTGATCATAGATAAATGTACCGATTCGAAAACACTTGGAGATAACTGGGATTTAATCCTTCGAGTGAGCGACACATATGCGAAAGCTCAGTAGGTTGTTCGCCTTTGTTGACTCGCTTTCCTAGGCCAAGGCAATGCCTTAAGTACATTATGAAGAAAGTATATAACATAAATCCCCATGTATCCCTCAGGGCTATTACAGTAATTTAATATTAGTATGTTATCAAAATAAATAGCTTCTAGATGGTTGTGCTCAAAACGCTGGCAATATATTCGTTCGGGAGATGTCCTCTCGGGAATTCGTGCACGTGTTCAAATCAAAATACT